ATTATTATTTATTATATATATGTATAGTATATAAGTATATATATATATATGTGTGTGTGTGTGTGTGTGTGTGTGTGTGTGTGTGTGTATGTATGAATGTATGTATGTATATATATATATATATGTATATAGTTTTTCTGGTGACATCTCAGTCGTTTATTGCCACTTGTTCCTATGATCAATACAGTGTGTTCTTAGACTTGTATGCAGTGACAATACCAGCCGTTTACCCACACTTACCAACCGTTGACACACACCTATTCTTATGCTTACCACAGAGAAACTTTTGAAGGAACGAGCCTTCCACGCCTTCTGGCATCCAGTCGACACGGAACTCAACCCCGACTATCTCAAGAAAATATCCACGCCCATGGATCTGTCCACTCTCCTGCTACAGGTACATACAAGATGCTGGGCTGGAATTTTAGTGTTCCGATGTTTGTGATATGCATAGATCCTTGCTCATACGCTCACTTAAAACCGCTTATTCCTCTTATTTATTATTATTATTACTATTATTATTATTATTATTATTATTATTATATTCAGTTCTGCTACAGATTGACCTTTCGCGTTCGCCCTTTTCCGCGTTGTATTGCAGGGTTCTGTATGTCACGTTGAGTTCACTTTCACTTCAAACTAAGACGGCCATCTCGTTTAGTTCTATCCTCTGCTTTGTATTCCCAAGTTCCTCCATTTACGTAAACGCCTACTGTCTCAGTGAGCTTTGTATTCCCAAGTTCCACCTTTTACGTAAACGCCTACTGTCTTAGTGAGCTTTGTATTCCCGGGTGCCACCTTTTACGTAAACACCCACTGTCTCAGTGGCGGTTTGTCAAACTCTCAGTCAGTTACGCCTTGATTGTGTATCCGTCAATACACGATCTTGATATTACGAGTTGGTTCGGTGGTCGCAGTCCACAAACGGGTATTCTCCGTGTGCCAATCAAATATCCTCATATACATACAGCACGCATACAACTAAACGGGCCAGATTCTATCTCTGTGTTCTGATACATCAATCCCAAACTCAACTATCTCTGTGTTCTGATACATCAATCCCAAACTCAACTATCTCTGTGTTCTGATACATCAATCCCAAACTCAACTATCTCTGTGTTCTGATACATCAATCCCAAACTCAACTATCTCTGTGTTCTGATACATCAATCCCAAACTCAACTATCTCTGTGTTCTGATACATCAATCCCAAACTCAACGAACACATGCAGGTGGACAACCGCAAATACGCCACCCCCAACTGCTGGATCAAAGACATTGACGTGATAGTAGCCAACTGCAAACAGTACCTCAGCGGCACGGAACCTGTACTGAGACGGGTAGTTACACACAATACATGCGTGTGTGTGTGTGTGTGTGTGTGTGTGTGTATGTATGTATATGTATATGTATATGCATATGTACATATATATGTATATGTATATATATGTATATATATATGTGGGTGGGTATATATATGACCGAGTCCAATGTTCTTCTATCCCAAAGAGTCATTTTTGTACATATTTGGAAGGGCTTTATGTATTAGTATCGTGTAGCCATTACGAGTATTGTATATTCACTCGTGGATGTATTTTTTGCATGTATGTATGTAGTCGTACTTTTGCAAGGAATTGTGTTAGCATACGACAAATATATATACTTTTATATTCGTTTATTGTATATGTATTCGGATATATGTCCAGATGTCGACATGAAATTGCTTGCATCGATAAACGTACTCGTGTGTGATAAACTCACTTGTGTGTCTGTATAGATATACATCCATGTGTGCGTGTGTGTACGAGTATGGTTTGATGTGTTTTCTGAATAGAGAATGTTACAAAGTGATATGTATATGGTATATATATATATATATGTATATATATATATTCGTAAACGCTAATTTCAGTACAATTCCACCAACGACTTCTTCATGCTCCTATTCTCACAACTACTTGGATAGGCTCGCATGCACACATATAAATACTCTTTCACACGACATGTATATCCCGTATGTGCACACACGTTTGTACACTTAGACGTATACACATCACATCCAAGACACCTCTCCGCATTCTTTCTCTCACTCTATTATGGGCTTTTACGCAGGCTTATGCTTTGGAAGATCGTGCCTATGGAATGATAGACGAGCTGGATGACGACTTTGTGAGGCTGTGTGAAGATACGCACAAGTTGGCACTCAAGCTAACCCCTGCGCTGATTGGTAGCGCTCGTAGTAATGCTCTGACAAGGTATGTATGGGAAGTGTGAATGGTTGCTATGGCAACGTGTATCGTTGCGTGGATCATCCTATGTTCTTCTGAGTATAAGTACTCTTGGTAATGATTTGACTTGGTATGCATGGGAAGTATCGATGGTTGCTATGGTTACTTGTATCCTGGTGTACATTTGCGTGGATCATCTTATGTCCTTCTGAGTATAGGTACTCTTGGTAATGATTTGACAAGGTATGCATGGGAAGAGTGAATGGTTGCTATGGTTACGTGTATCCTTGTGTACATTCGCATGGATCATCTTATCTCCTTCTGAGTATAGGTACTCTTGATAATGATTTGACTTGGTATGCATGAGGATGTGTGAATGGTTGATAGCTTTGTATAAATAAGCGTAGGTTGCGTATTGTCCAGATATGCATGTACAGGTGCTCGTGATCTTGACTCGACTAAGTGTGTACTGGTATTTGTACGCTTGTGTATATTCCCTTAGCGTATAATGTGTAATTCGCTAACTGTCCTTATATTCATGTGCAGGTGTTTGCCGGCATGCTTTGACTATATATGCATGTACCATAGGACATGATTGTATATTTTCCTGCCTACGCGAGTGTTGAATTGTATTCTTCCTTACTTTTATGTGTGGTGATGGATTTACCTATAAATACATGTAATATTTTTCGGGCATATCTGTATCTTGGTGTACCGAGCATACATCCACATATGTATGTTTGTAATCCTGTGTTCAATATTTATAGTATATTTAAATTCCCTATGGAAATGTCTGCACAGTCCTGTGCGTGGTTCGCCCAATTGTTTAAACCCATGCAATCACCGTGGTGTTTCGTTTTGTTCCTTTTCTGCACGTACAGTGGCTATGTGTATGTGTATTTGCATATGTATTCTAATTTGGTCTTCACCAATCAATCCGCACCCAACCGCCACAGCACCTTATCACAGCGACACTATCTCACTCCACTCACTCGGCCATTAAGATATATATATGTGTGTGTGTATGAGTGTGTGTGTGTTTCTGTGTCTGTGTCTGTGTCTGTGTGTGTATGTATGTGTTTCTGTGTCTGTGTCTGTGTCTGTGTTTG